GTAAGTAAGTAAGTAGTACGTAACGTTACTTACTATAACTAATAACTTAAGTTAACTTAACTACTACGTAGTAGTAGACGACACAACTATACTACTATATATATATATATATATATATATATATATATATATTGAATATTGAAACACGTTCAAAAACTTCAAATCATTGAAAATTTAGTGGAAAACATAAGCAGGTCCGTAGTGTATCCGTCTCCACCTCTCCCGTCCAAACAAGGTAGTGGCATACAATGATGACACACACTTACACACACATAGAAATAGTCACATGGACTTCAAGTCCCCAATAAAAAGTATAAAACCAATTCAAGATAATGCAATACAAAAGATATGATGAAATACAAAAGAAGAGGGAAGAGATCTTCGATTCTTCAATCATCATCTGCCAGAATCTTCCTCATCATTTGCACCTCCATCTAAATCAAGGCCGCCATCATCAAAATCATTACCCTCTTCAACACATTTCTCATTTTCGTCAATTCTTCTGAATCTGCCTCATCCTTGTCTATTTGCCTCACCTATTTCGAAGTACCAACCAGAGTTGATGCGCGAGTGTCCCTCCTAAGATTTGAAGCTGAACCTGAAACATCCTTAACCATAAATCAAACTCTCCCCAGGGAAGACCTCTTCAGTCCCAAGGTCTCCAACCAGCCACTCATTAGCATTCTCCTTGTCCATGGAAGCGATGGGATCCTTCTTCTACTGATTAAACTTCTCCTTAAGCCTGTGATTCTTTCAAACAAATGTGAAATCATTGAGCTTCCTTTGCTCAAGCCTATATCTTCATTTTGTATGCACCTATAAGAAAAAAATGCGTGAGTACTATAGTACTACTACTTAACCCATCTAGATTTTCAAATTTGGACTTAGAGAGAACTAAAGTAAAATTGCAAAAGTGCTATTATATGTCTATACCTTGTATAATATAAAAGAATCTCAACTAGACATACCATCTCAAATGAACTCCTATTCTGCTCATAACTAGAAGCGCTAGTTTTAAACTCAAGACCTGAACAACCATCTTTGGAGCACTATTCCAATACTGGCTCCACAATTTAGGTGCATTCTCTATAACTGATTTAACATTTCATAAATAGTTTTAGCGAATTAAAAAAACAACATTAGTCATTAGAAACTTGAAGGAAAATTTTCAAATGAAATATATTACCTGGATCTGATTTGTTCCTTTGTCTCACTGCCATTTCTTTCTCTCAAGGCACTCGCCAAAGCCATCCATAATAGCACCTTTCCTCTCAATATATTGGTCAGCATTAAAAAACTTTGGGTTCAAATAGTGCCCAACTACATGCAATAGTCTATGAAGTTGCCTATCCCACTTTTCATCTATAGCCTCCAAAACTGGGCCATACAAGGTCATTGCGTTCAGCTGATTATGGCGAGATCCAAGCTTTCTTAGCATGTCAACACCAAGTTAGAATTAAATTACTAGGTCATATGTATATTAATAAATTTTGTTAGTCAGGTGGACTCAGCCAAGTTTGAGTCAAGTAGTCAAGCATCAATAATAATGGATTTTTGTTAGTCAAGTGGACTCAGCCAAGTTTGAGTCAAGTAATCAAAGCATCAGTAATCCTTTACGCTCTATACTTGATTACTTGTTCATTATCATTATCGTTCTGCCTATACCATTCAGGGATTCCAATGGTTGTGTTTGTTAGTATTGCATATAGTATAGCTAATGTAGGTAACCTATGTTTGTTAGTATTGCATATAGTATAGCTAATGTAGGTAACCTATGTTGCAATTTGCTTTTGGTAGTGTGTCTGTTGTGCTGTAACAAACAAAAAATTTAATAGTTTAAGTTCACGCTGTGCTGTTTCTTAGTCTGAGCTATCATGAATTGGGTTTTACATTGGTTTGATGTTATTTATGTTTTACCTTTGATTGTACATATTCCTATGTCTTATATGATGTGCATCCCATTATGTGATAAAACAATGTGTGCAAGTGCTCAGCAGATTCTTAACTGTGATCATGACTTGCTATTCTGGCTTTGGATTGGTGGGAAATAATTGCTAAGAAATGTACTGATTGTGTTACAAAGAGGGATGTGCATGGGAAATAGTTGGGAGGGCATAATATTGGAGATAAGATGTATAGGTAGAACATACTGTGAATATGCTGTCAACATTGATTTTGTAGTAAA